CTCTCTTCATATTCTAGTCTCATGACATATTATTGCAAAAGCTATATTTATACAGCATACCTCATAAAGTCTCATTATATCCCTATCTAAGCGTTCAAAACCTATTTTCCCCACGTAATCTGATTCTTCAGGCTCCGCTGATTCGATTTCTGCTGTCAGATCGTGAAAATATGAATCACATAACAAGATAAACACAAATCCAAAATAATAATGTTTTCTTCAAATTGACTCTTCCACGATATTCATATATTTGTTATTAATTCCGTTTTCCCTTACAAATGTATTTAATTTTCTGAATAATACGTATTATAAAATGAATATCTCAAAAACTAAATTAAAAAATTAATACTGGGTAATAACTAGATATATTGTGACTTTTTGAATTCACACACTTTTGGAAAAAATTGAATTTTTCTAAAATGATGTTGTTTGAACATGAACTTAAAGAGTTTTTTTACGGAAAATATCAAGTTGGGTAACTTGTGTTTATCTTGTTATGTGATTCATATTTTCACGATCTGACAGCAGAAATCGAATCAGCGGAGCCTGAAGAATCAGATTACGTGGGGAAAATAGGTTTTGAACGCTTAGATAGGGATATAATGAGACTTTATGAGGTATGCTGTATAAATATAGCTTTTGCAATAATATGTCATGAGACTAGAATATGAAGAGAGTATATATGTGTTATTGTCAAATGTTTATATGTGGAGATAGCTCGGTAGAGTCTATAAAATAGTTCAGTACATGCCATAGGGAATATAAAGCACAAAAAATAATAAATAAATATTAAATAGGGAAATTAATATTTTAAATAATGTAAGTAAAGTATTTTCTCTAAGTATCATAGTGGATGACAAACAAGAGTGCACAATGCACTCTTGTCGGTCAAAGTTTTGCAATCGTATTCTGATTGCAATAAATTGTCTCGTTCTGGGAGACATGCACAGGCAATGTCTCCCGGAATGACACATGCAGACCAACAAGAGTGCACAATGCACTCTTGTCGGTCAAAGTTCCGCATTCAAGTATGAATGCGGAACAGTATGCCATTCTGGGAGACATGCACAGGCAATGTCTCCCGGAATGACACATGCAGACCAACAAGAGTGAACAATCCGCTTTCTCCTTTGAAATCCAACATTCTAATCACATCTACATTAATAAATTGTTATAAAATACTAATCAAAGATCCAATACAATTCTACTATCTTATTCACACATTACCAATGTTAACACCTCTTATAACTTAAATTATTTCATAAAATTTGTTTTTATATCTTATTATTTTCTCATAATGCTTCTAATACATCTCTAATTTCTTACATTCAAACACCAATATCGTCATACTATCATAAGCACTTAATTTTTTCAAAATTTTAGACTTAAATTTGAGCTACATTTTCATCATCATTTTTAGCCTTAAGCTTCTATAAGGTTATAATACATTATCGTAATATTCTAATATTTATGATTCTTACTACTCAATTCAATATAATCATATAAGTCACTCATAATCAGGAGCATAATTTAAAAATCTATAGCTCATATTTTGACAATTATATATATAGATGATGCATATTGCAATTCCGGTTTCAACACGATCAAATGTCAAACCATGATAAAATATATATCAATTTACAAAATATCGATTAACATTAGAATCCATATCTAATTCCATCAATGCACAAGTTGTAAATGCTTAATTCATCTTTGAGAAACGTGAATAGCACAATTTTATAAGATTATTTGTTGAATATTTAAAATATAAGCCAAATCGAATCTGCTGTATATTACTTTAGTTTATAATTGAATGTTAAATGTGTTCATATAAATATTTGAGTCAGATATCGCATTTTCTAATTTCAAAATTTATCTCATGAAGTTAGAATTTATTTGATCATACAACATCATATTAGTCAAACTAGAGTTCAATCGCGATTCCAAAATGGAACAATTGCTTGTTTTATCAAAATGTTAAAATATTAATCTAAAAAACTTAATATCTAACCAAAACATTCTAGAAATATCATATACAGGTATATGCAATCTAAATGCACACGAAATACTGAAAATTAAAAAGAATATTTATGAGATTATTAAATCTTATGCATTTCAATGAAGAGTCGATAATTATCATCTCTATAGGTTATATATCAACATATGAGTTTTTGGATTGACCACTACTATACTAATGTGATCAAATTAATCTGATTTCTTGAATTTTCATTTGAAGCATTCGCAGTAGTAGGAGTACCTTCATATATTAACATATTAAAAAATTGCGCCCAGATTCGCAGTTTAATCATGATTTTAAGATTGCATTAGATTTCGAAATGCAGAAAAAAATCACTTTAGATTTCCTTCAAACTCTAAGCATAAGCATGTCTCTATATGAGGAAACTATTTGAGCTATTCATTTGGCGGCCCAAAAACTCATGTTGCCTGAGCGCAGAAAATACCAATTTTTGGACCCTGGGTAGGGGGTCATGCATGTTTTCTAAATGTTGGAAAAGTAGGGTAAATTATTGAAATTAGAAAAACAAAGTTAGCTAATTTGAAAAAAAAAATAAGTGAAAGAATTTAATATCCTAGTTAAAAGTTGTAGTTTGGTTTCATTAAGTGACGTTTTTATCAATAAAAATATTGGGATAATATATTTCATTTCATTTACTTTTTAATACATGCGAGAGCAGGAGAAAAATATATAGTATTGGTTTTTCTATAGATGCATTTCAGTTTTGTCTTATGAAATAATGGTTTAATTGATATATATTGAATGACTTCTTTGGTTGTTGCATCTGATATTATAGGTTCATCATCAAAATGGACATAAACAAACTTTTCACCACAATAATCTTTACATGATTTTGACAAAATCGTGTCCCTTGTAATAAATAGATTGCTGCCTTTTGGAACTTGTTTCCAGAAACTTATGGTAATATTGAAATTTCCAGGAATGAAAAAATCTATTGGATTTTCATTGAATAGAAAAATAGACGATTTCATTGTGATAATATTAGAATTGTTTAAGAACTTAATACACTTAAGATTTGTGCAATTTGAAAATGCTCCATCTCCAATAATTGTTAATTGTGATGGAATTATAATCTCTCTCAATGAAAAACAATCTTTGAATGCGTAAGCTTCAATTGATTTAACACTTTCTTGAACTAAAAAATCTGTTAATGATAAACAATTAAGAAATGCCTGAGCTCCAATTGAAGTTACATTTCCTAGAAATGTTATAGATTTCAAATTTGTACAAGATTGAAATAACGCACGATTTATTGAATGAATCCTTGCCGGAAATGTAAAACTTGTAAATGATTGACAGTTTTGGAATGCCGCTATATCAATAAATGTTACCTTTTGGGGAATTATAATATCTTTTAATGAAGTGCAATATGAAAATGAAGCATAGCCAATATATGTTATATCATCATGTAATTGAATGGATGAAATATTAATATGATAAAAGCAATAATCTGAAATTTTTGTGACATATTGAGGAACAATAAAATCACTATCTGAATATGTTATTAAAACTCTAAATAGTGTTGAATTATCTTTTCCTGTAAAAATACATTTAGCATTGATTCGATAATTCTCATTTTCTGGATCAATAGTTATATTTTCAAAAGGCGTATTAGAAAAAGCTTTGGGACTGATTGAAGTCAGATTTTTTGGAATAAAAAATGATGAAAGTTTTGTTTCCAAGAAACAGGTTTCGCCAATATATTGCAATTTAGAATTAAGTGAAATATACAAAGTTGTTAAATTACTCAAATGAAATACAGAACTTTCAAGAGAAATCACAGAATCTGGCAAGTTTACTGAAGTTAAGCATACGTTTTTTAAAAAGCACCAAGTTCCAATACTTAAAAGATTTGGAGGAAGTTCAATTGATCTCAACAATAGACAGTATTGAAATACAAATCTATTCAGATATAAAAGATTTTTACATTCACTGAGATTTGCAGTTTCCAAATTTGTTTGATAAAAACTATAACTACTGATATAGTTGATTTCACTGTTTTCTTCAAATCGAAGAGATTTTATAGAACTCTTACAATTCTTAAATGCATAATTATTACCATTTTGACTGTATATATCTATTACATCTTTTGGAATTAAAACTTCTCCATTCAAATCTTCTGAACATCCTGTAATAGTTCGATTAGTACTATTTAGATATAAAAGATAATCGGAGCTACAGGTTTGATAAAATAAAAAGCAAAACAAAATTAAGTAATTATGTTATTGTTTTTAAATATGTGTTTTGTCATCTAGATATCTTGTATACGAATTTTAAAATTAAATTTTGATTTTGAAAGATATTTGATTGCATCATTTACAGTAAATTAGCATACTATATTTATAATTTTTATGGCTTAAGGGTGCGCCCGGGAGGATCATGTAAACTTCAGAATTTAGAACCTTAATTTTTAAGCAATAACTTGGTACCTAAATAGGTAGGAAAACTCTAAAAATATCAAAAAATACAACTTGGCTCCATAATAATCCTGTCATGGTGGCTGTTTGTATCCCCTAGTATTTTCCTCTTGAATCTCTTTTTCTGTCGAAATTAAATTCAAATCTCAGAAGTAGAAGTGAATAATCGACTTATTGCTGCTGTTATACGAATAAATAAATTCATTATATTATTTTTATTTACATAATATCTGTTTGAAGTCCATAATTCTATAAATTTTTCTTCAAAAACATTACAATCTTGATAGTTTTGATACTGTTTAATAGGTTTTTGGCACCTTATTTAGTATTTACTACGTATAGAGTCGATCTGAACTTAATTTTCGGAAATTTAAAATATTTATTATAAGTAAAATCTAATTTGAAATTTATGTTTAACTACTCATATCTTGCATTATCCAAAAAAAAAAAAAAAAAAAAAAAAAGGCAGTGGGGCTTCCAGGGGCTGCGCCCCTTCTAGCCCCGAAGATGTTTAGTATAAAATGAGGTTTTTATTCGGAAAATTGTTAGTCTTCTGGTGTGAATTCGGAGGACTCTTCGTGTTTCTCTTCTTCGTGTTTCTCTTCTTCTTCCTCTTCCATTGCTTCTGGGAAGAAGTCTTCTTCTGGGTCGAAAACATTATATAATGTGTAATTGAATGACACATTATATCTTTGTTTGAGTTCGCTCTTGACAAAGAACTTAGTTCCAGGAATACAGAAGACTTCTGTGCGTTGGAAAAGCTGATGTCCTGGAACAAATTTGGCAATTAGAGACTTCTTTTTTCCGAATTGTTCAGGAGTTTTCATGACGACAGTAACAACATCTCCATCTGCGAGGTCTTGTTCTTGTTCGGAAAGGTAAAGAGCAATGATATGAATAGTTGCTGCGTTGAATTCGAGAAAGTCGAATTCAAATTGTGTTGTCGTATAGCATTCAAACCATTTTGTACAGTTGTCTCCGAACTCGTCAACGTATTCATCTTGGTCATATCCGTAACTAAAGACTTGGAATTCGGCAATTGTCTTGTCGAATGACCGTTGCATGTAACGAGGAAGATTTTGACGAACTTGGTATAAAGTTCTCAACATTATGAGCTTAGTAAATGTTGGAAAATACTGAACTAAGACATCGCTAAGCTCAATTGGACTTGGAATTGTCTTAGTAAGTTCAATTGAACTAGCAATTGCTTTGTTCAGAACTTCACAGAACTGAGTATTGTATATAGCGTCTGGTTGTGTGTTTTCTTCGGCGTCTTTGAGATATTTAGAGCAAATTTGTTGAAGAATTTCTCTTAATTCGCTGTTAGACTTTTTGGCGGTTATTCTAACAGCTGTGCCAGTTCTTGGAGGTTGTGGGGCTTTGGCTTTGGTTAGCGGTTGAGAATTGTTAATGTTGGCTTCCATTAGACAAAAATAAACTGTTTTTTCGGACTACTCATAGAAAAGTTTAAAATAAACCGTTTTCGTCAACGGTAACCCCTCTATTTTTTTATTTTATTGAAAAGTCTCCGTTGGCAAACCGTTCCATCTCAAATATTGAATGAACTATAAACGTTTTTTGTTTTCTATACATACTTTTTTGTCCAACGTAAAACTTTTTACACAACGGTTTTGAGAGTCGTCGCCGTTGACTTTTTTGTATAGCACTCAAAATAGTATAACTTTGTCCGGACAAGTAAGGGTCTATCGTCGCTACAGGAAAAGTTACGGGCGTTCCAAGGAAGTATACTTTGAGAAGACTTTCCCCCTTATAGAATGAGATAGGACGGTTATTTTACAAAACTGACAACACTTTGACCGAGTAGTTTTTTGAGCTGAACAAAAAGTGTCATATAAACATCTGTCAAAAACCGCTTTTTAACTTCACTTAAAATGCCACGTAAGCTACGTAAGAATATACGTAAGAGGAAGAGAGCATTGAAACATCCAATAGTAAAACTGACACCACAACAACAGTTGCAACAACAAATGCTGAATGACCCCACTATGTTGCAACAAATGTCAAGCAACCCTATGCTTTTAAACCGAGTTATTGGTGCACAGAGTGGAGGTTTAAGAGCGGCACTTTTAGCGAAAATGGCAGGCTATGGTGGAGCTGCAGACGGAACAGCTTATAACCCTCAAAGTCAAATGAATTTGAGTTCACTCAAAAATCAAATAACAGATGTCAAAAAGTCAAACATAGACATACAGAAACAAATAAGTGAAACGAAAAGAAACTAGAATATGACAGACACACAAAGAAACTCAATGAGTTAAACGTAGAGAAAAAGAAGAAAGAAGAACAACTGAAAGAACTAAGTACAGAGGAATATGCGAAAAAAGTGTCAGAAAAAGCAGCAGAGTAGCAAAAATGGAACAAGATGTTATAAATTTGAAAAAACCATACTACTCAATATAAAGTACTGAAAGATGAAGAAATAAAACAAAAAGCCCTGAAGACATATATGGATAGCGATGAGTATAAAAAAGAAGTTGAAGCAAATGTAAAGGCAGAAAAACTTTTACAGTTGCAAAACCAAACCGTACAGTATGAAAACTTAGCACAAGAAAGTAAAAATAACGACGCAGCCATGCAAAAGGCAATGAAAAGCGCAGAATATATATAAAAGCTAACAATGACTGGTTAGATGCCCAAGCCAACGCTAAAGCAGCCCAACTCATAGGGTCAATAAGGACAAAAATACAAGCGGATGAAGACAGTTCAAATGAAGCTTTAACAAATGCTGACTTTAAGAACGCCTTCGAAGCTCTTCATAGTAAGGTGAAACAAGTGAACGACTTCTCATCTGGAAAGAAACTGAAGTCTGAAGGTTTCGACAAAGAGTTAAAAGAAGTAGCACAAAATATGACGAAAATAACAGATGCAGCAACGAGACAGGCAGTTCAAAGTGCCTATGACGCCGTTAGAGCAACTGTTGTGAAAAGTCAAGAAAAAGAGTTACAACAGACCAAAACAGACCTAGTAAATGCTTTCTTAAAAACGAAAAGTCAGGTAGGACATTACGCTGCAGATGGAACATATGTGCCAGCTGGTGGAACTTATATACCAGCTGTTGGAATTTATATACCACCAAACCCTCCAAGAGAAGCACCTGCACCAGGACTACCTAAAACATTTACATCGTCACATGGACACAGACACAGGCATGCACCAAAACCAACACAACAACCAACAGTTCAAAATCCAGCACAACAACAACAACAACCAACACAACAACCAGCACAACAACCAACACAACAACCAACAGTTCAAAACCCTGCACAACAACAACCACAACCAACAGTTCAAAACCCTGCACAACAACAACCACAAACAGAGCAAGGACATAAAAGAAGTAGAGAACAAGGAAACCAAGAATTCTTAAAAAGGCTTAAGGAAGACTATGGTTACCCAGATAGTATTGACTTTAGTGACAGATATAAAGAAGCTATTAGAAAGTTCAAGGATGGAAATACTGACCCGAACCTATTTAGCTTTATGGTTCAGCACCAAATGGGATATAATTTCAAACCTGGAAAATACAAGCTCGCTAAGGGATATGATTTAATAGCATATCATCCAAATGACATGACTGAATTTACTCCGAGATATTTGATGTCAGAGCTAAATGACAATTCAACTCCCGTCATGAAACGCGTAAAAAATAGAGACGGAACGAAAGAAGAAAGGTTTTTGAGTCCGGATGACTTAGAAAGGGAACTTGTTGAAAACGGTCTCGGAATATATGAAATGCCAGCAGATGAGGTACAAGAAACTCCACAGGAAGAAGTTCAGATACAACCAGACATGGAAGAAATAGTTCAGCAACAACAGCTAGAAGAGCCTGAAGGAAACGAACAAGTCCTTCCTTTGGAAACTAACTTCACAGAACTAGATGAAGATTTGGAACAGCCGAAAAATCTTGACCCTCAACAAGAGCATGAGGTGAATATGGAATCTTTCCAAGAGTCTAAAAAAAATTCGGCTGACATAGTAGAAGAATATCGAAAAATGTTTGCCGACATACAAAAGACTCCAACACCAGATGAAAATATTCAGCATAGAATGAAAGTACTGAAAGAAAATGTACACAATACAACAACCCTTTTTACTTACGAGCATTTAACGTTCAATCTTCGGATGAACTCGGTGAAAATAAAAGGTTAAATTTCAAGAAAACATATAGAAATGAAACATTGTTTAAAGTTCATTCAGAACCTAACCAAGATGGAAACAAACCTACTTTTGTTTCTGCAGACGATGGAACTACAATGAGATGGGGTCATAAAGCTAATCCGGATAGGTGGTTCATAAACTTACAACCACAATTCCAAGAAGTTGTAGACGCAATGGAAGTCAATGGTGAACAAGATATAGCTGGTATTTTAAGCGCGGCTTTAATGCCATTGAAAGATATGAAACATGCAGATATTTTGGACCAGTATGAAATGAACATGGCTGATGGAAATATAACACCTGACGTTCTAAACATTTATCTCAAAGAACTACACAGAACCATAGAGATGGTATATTTGGTGAAGAGTTTAGAAAGAAAGTTAGGGATAGAGAAGGAAGAGAACCTATTGTACATGACCTTGCAAACGAAAGTTTACAAAATGTCATAAAAACTTACTTTGCAGACAATGAAACCGAGAAGGGATGAATATTTAAGAAAACTCAAATGGACAGTACCAAATGAAATGTTAGTATTGAAAACATGTTCCTTGACAAAATAAAACCAACTACAGAAATAAACGACGCAAGACTGAAAGATTGGTAGAAGCTTTCCCATTCACAAAGGATATTGTTGGTAACATGGAAAGAAAACCAGAATGGCTACAAAAACATATATTTGGAAACGAGCATATTCCATATGGACAGGCACTGTTTGAAGAGCTTGAACCGGAAACTCAGGAAAGAGTCATGCAAACAAAAGCGACGACTCAAATACAGACTATGACAAACTCTTTCTAGGATATAGGTTACCTGAGATGGGCGACCAGAGCCAAAAGGCAAAAGGACATGGGAAATTTGCAACATACTAGATGAACATGAGCAAAGATGCAACAACTTGAAGCAGAGGGCAATGAAGGAAAAGAAGAGTTAAAAAACTCAGTCAGGAAGAAAGTAAAGCTTGTCCACGTGGGTTCTATTATGACATATAAATTCAACTATTCTATATTTTTACACATATGAAATGTACGCCGCTCAGAATATAACGCCAACAGTTTTGGATGCCATGAATGGAAATGTTTCCGAATGGTATAACGAATGCGACAATGCCATTAGAAGGTCAGAAATAGTTCCTGGAACTTACGAATATACAACTGCTGTTTTTATGGAAACGTAGGTGAGTTTGGAGAAGGTTCTTCAACAACAGTAGATATTGCTTGCGACAGGTTTCATATAATTTCTATTGACAACTCTTTCTTATACGTGGAACAAGACATTGAAATAAAACCTTCTGCCAAGTTGTCTGACAAGAAAGGTTGCAATGGAATTTTCTATGTCGGATACCAATATGCTCCAGAAGTTTTCATGGGATATAAGATATATTCTAACTCTGACTTAGTTCAAACAGTAACATGGGCCAAACTATGAATGGTTCGCTTTGAGAAAACTCAGTACAACCACAAGCTAGAGAACAAACAGACCAGTATGCAACTATTGAGAAAATAAGAAGACTTGACCCTAACGTTCCAGGAGTTTATGTTAACCTTTCTGGACAAACTGCAGCAGCAGTAACCAAAGTAAAACTGAAACTTAGAGTTCCTTTGTCATCTTTCCTCATCTTCAGGTTTTTAAGATACTTGCCAAACTGGCAGGAAAAATTTCTATTGAACTTACTCCAAGCAAAAATAACTTAGTCATTGCACCAACACAAGACCCATTCACTCTTACAGAAGTAGTGGGAACAAATAAAATGTCATTCGCCGACTTTTGCAAAAACAAAGTTGACTTAGACTTTGGTTTCTCAAACCTCAACACTGAAGTAAACTATTATTTCAATGCTGCGGAGATGCTTGGACCCAGTTAAGTTCACATGCGAAAAATTTGAATGCAAGAGAATAGAAAGCAGACTTGCAGTCTATATGTTGGACCCAGATATTTCAAATGCTTTAGCTGCCAAATATATTGCAGTTCCACTTATGTTCCCTATACACCAAATATCTGTCAAAGACTTTGCAGGTGAAGTTGGAAACCAAAGTGCTGACCCAGGTGCAAGAACAGATATTGCCTTAACAACTGCAATGAAACATGCAGATACTATGTTTGTACTGTTCAGACGAACTATAAATGACTATTCTTGCTTCTACAACCCTGGTATTAAATCATATAAACATAGATGGCAAATACTATCCAAGAAAGAATATTCTACAGTTGAGGATATGAGGTCATACAACTTGACATTAGATGCTATGAACTTTAACAACAACTTCACAACAACCATTAACCCTGAAATGCAAAGTTCTATTATGCCATATGTGAAAGTATGGACTCATACAGGAGCTCAAAAAACTCAATATACAAATGGAGACCGTTCAAAACTTTTGGCTTGGCATTCCATTTGCTGACTCAGAAGACTTTATGGGTGGTATTTCAACTGTTGGTACAGTTCAAATACAATATACTGGTGACAGAGACGGTCCAGATGAATTGAAAGCAAAGAAGTTTACAAAACCAATAGCACTTTTCACGGAAGATGCTCTTTGAAAATTCGTTCGATGAAACCTGCTGGGGCTCCTCAGATTGGTATAACGACAGCTTCCATCGAGCAGATTTTGGCAGCAGGTCAGTAAGTTGTTCTTGAACTGACTTCTCTCCGTCAAATATTGACAGTACGCCAGTTTTGACATAAAATTGTAAGATAAACTTACCTTTAGAAATATCTGTAAGTTTTGAAGTTATATTTTTGTCTGCTTCAAGAACTTTCACCATTTCAGTTATACCAACTTTCTTTGCTTTATGAAAATATTTAGGTTCAGCAAATATTGCTATTCTATAACATTTTCCATTGTTTGTGTAAAGAACTATTCTGTCAATGTATTTGTATTGTTTTGTGTGTAAACTTTGTTTTGCTTCAATTCGAAGAGATACTCGAATACGTCCATCTTTTTATTCTAAGTAAAATGTCATTTCCGAAAAAATAGAAGCGTGAGTGTTTCAAAAGGTTTAATGGCGGTGGCAGATGTGAAGTTAAATTCACCAACTCAAACAAACAGTCAAAGTGTTGTTGTCAATGTCAAAGAAAGAGATGTTGAAGTGGGGAAACCATACGAAGACGAAGATGGTATAACAATAGTTCCTGTAAAAGAACAACCAACATACCTGAAGTTAGCAGAGACTTAAGTTCTGTTGCAGATATTCGAAACGACTACCAACAACTTAAAGACAAACTTAAAACTCAGGAGAAGATTTGTCAGGCTTTGGGTATAATGTTAAACTTGGTTGAGCACAACCCTGTAAAAGTGAACTCATATGTCATTGCACCTCATGAAGTCTTGAAAGAACTATTGAAACTTTTGACAGAGGCAGACGATATAAACATCAAAGAAATAGAACCCGACATTGCTTGCTGTGGGTGTTTCATATAATGTCATTGACAAGATATACGTTATGAAAGGAGGTGAAACGTTGAACTTAAAATATAGTTTCCCAGACGTCATAAAAATATTTGACGACCACAACATTTCATTAAAATTTACTTGCTAAGTAAATGGCAGAAGACATAGTGGTTTATACTATTACGACTAAAAACCCTGAGTCATATAATTCTATAACAACAAACTTACAAAGTCCTCAAGGACGATATTGTAAACTAACCTTAAACACATGACGACTAAAGCCTGTTTTGCTCTTTGACACCAGAAGACTTGTTGTTGTGAATGGTAAAAAATACCTTTGAAGATACTTACTCAGATATACCACCAACAGGTTTTGTTGACTTATTTAATACTTTAAGGACGGATGTAACATGTGCTGCAACTAGAGCAGGTTTCATTATGTTTGGATGTCCGACTGAGTTTAGTATAAACGATATGAGCTATAATACAAAACTTATATCTGGTTTTTACTACCAACAGTTTCCTATAACAGGAAAAGGTGTCATACAAGGTTCTATCTGTTCCATTGACTTTAAGTACACCTATTTTTATATTGTTTTCAAACTTAGGTTCAAAGTGCTATTCGAATGTCGACAGAAACTACTATGACCAAAAGATACTCATGCGTATAAACAACACTTTCTCTGCTGGTTTGCCTATTGTTCATTCGAATGCAGAGTTTTCAGCTTTAGTAAACTCAAACACTTTAGCAAACATAAACTTAACCTTAGTCGACGCAAACTTTGTTCCTGTAAAACTTTTATGTCCTATGTATTTGTCAATGACGGCAGAAAGTTTCGAATTGAAGATGCAACTGGTGAAAGTATTGTATTACAAGAACAACTTCAACAACAAATAGCTCAAGAACAACAAATGCAACAAATGGAACAAATGCAACAACAAAGTCAAGAATAAAAAAATATTTTTTTTATTTTTATAAAAATGTACAGAATAGACGTTTCAGATTTTTATGACTTCCAAGCGTTCAGAAATATGTGTCCATTTAGAGACTATAACAAAGCAGTCGAGAATTTGAAACGTTTAGTCATTTATGTCGACTCTGCCCCAGAATGTTATGTCATGAAAGAATGGGATGTTGGTCTTTAACAAACCAAGAGCAACCATAGTTTTCAGAACAAGAATGTAGACAGAAACTTAAGAAAATAAAAGTCGTACAAGTTGGTATGAAGATGTTAGATGCTTGGGATATCTTATTGTCAAAGTTAGAAGATTTTTCAGTTCGTGGTATAAAGTTCTATACACCATCTCCAAACTTCTATTCTATCTTCACTGGATATAAATACGAACAAGTAGAATGGAAAGAAAATGTTATAGAAGCTTGGTTAGACCATGTCAAAGAAATTATATGCAATAGGAAACGAAAGAGTCTATGAGTATATCTTATGTTGGTTTGCAAACATCTTACAACATCCAAGTGCTAAAAATGAAACTGCTCTCAT